TTCAAAACACTCATTCTCCTTTACTTTGCAACAGATAATTACATTTCTCGATATTGGTCAATATTATATAGGTATCACAGTTGTATCCACATTAATATTGATTTGATTTGATTTGAACCAGCAGTTTATTATTCAGGCTTTTAACACAAAAAATAAAATCTGCTGATGGTGACAATGTACCACTCAATCACAAATTGTTTGAGTGATATTCAAGCTTTAATAACATCAGGAAAGCAAAAAATCTTAACAACCTCATAACTAATTTATAGTCCGTCTAATAAAATCGAACTGGATAGCAATCTAAACGATTTTTAGTAATAATCTCTAGTAGAATACTAGATCCAAACAAATAACCTAAATAATGGGGCTATATTTATAAATTTGTTTAATTTGTTAACAATTTTAGAATGCTTCAAACTTTCAACCCTTCCAAACCCAAATTAATTTAATTACAGATAAAAAAAAATATGGGCGGTTCTCCAAAACGTAGAGGAAAACTTTTTCAAAGTTCAATTTAAAATTCTTTATATAAATTTAAATAGCTTTTTAACATTTTGTGCTTCGTGAGGCATGATGGGTGACTGAGGAAATTGCACCTATAAATATATTTTTCGAGATCAATCAAAATCTGTTGATGGAGTTTTGATCAATGTCTTTAAAAAGTGCTACAGTATAACACTTCACACTTTTTTAAATAAAAATAGCAATCACTTTCCTATTTCAGGATTATTTAACTACACAGATTCACAGAGATATTTCTAAAAATCCTTTTTTGGATAGTGCTGAAAGGAAAATAAAACATAAGAAAGTTTACATGCAAAAAAATCGAATTTCTAGGATATGAACTTCAAAGGAATTCTACCATTTACTGTACTGTAGTAGATTAATAAATAGTATGTAGTATCTTTTCCAAGACAACCACGATAAAACTGAACCTTTTTTTCAAAAAGCCTCAAAATGACAATGCTGACATTTCCCTTCCTTGGAGGGAAAGCTACTAGAGGGCAGACATTGATTCTTTAAAGCCGGTTCCCAGTGTTTTTGGTCTGTTCTTGAATTTTGTTCAACCCCTCATTAAATAATACTACTAACAATTATTATTAGTAATACATTGGCTTAAAAAAGATCAAATTAATATTTTAAACGGTATAGAAAATTACACAGTTGCTGCTCATTTTTGTAGAGAAAATACAGCTCATGGAGGCTCATGTATATTAATAAAAAATAATTTGAATTTCTTTGAAAGAAAAGATCTTTGTATATTCAATGATGAGTTAGTTTTTGAAATGTGCTGTATTGAGATAGTTTGTTTCAATGCAATTATTATTTCCATTTATAGAATTCCATGTATTTCAAATTTTAGAACTTTTTTAAATAAATTAGAAAATGTGTTTATTTTACTGCAGAAAGAGCTAGGTTTTAAGGATGTTTATATTGTAGGTGACTTTAATATTGACATTTTAGATACATGTACTTTTCCACAACAGAGATTGGATTTTTTGAATTTGTTAGATATTTTTGGTCTAGGTATAAATATAGAATCACCAACAAGAATTACGCCGAACAAAATTTCATGCATAGATAATATCATAACATTCAAAATTAAGCCAATTGATACAAAAATCTGTATGAATATTGAAACTGGTCTTTCTGACCACAGGTCTCTTTTTATTTCTTTACAGGGAAATGATGAGGATAGACAAAAATTACACACTTCTTTTAAGCAAAGAATTTTTTCTGAAAGAAATATTAATAACTTTATAAACTCTATCAGCAAAATGAAATGGAATACTACAAAAAATAACGACCTTTTTCTAAACAGTAATAATTTTTTTGGTTCTTTTCAAAGAATTTTTGAGGAATCTTTCCCTTTCAAACCTGTTAAAATTAAAAAGAAAACAGTAAATAAAAAATGGGTAACACAAGGTATTCAAATTTCTAGTCAAAAGAAAAGAATGTTAAGCAACTTAGCAAAGAGTTCTACTGATGTTAACTTTATTGGCTATGTAAAAATGTACAAAAAAGTTTTTAAATCTGTTTGTAACCTAGCAAAGAAAATGTATAATTGTAGTTATATAAATAAGGCTAGTAATAAGACTAAAGCAGCATGGGTTGTGGTTAAAGCCGAACTTGGTTACAAGCCAAACAATAATTCTTTTCCTGATTTAGTTATTGATAGCAAGTTAGTCTCAGATGGCACAGTTATTGCAAGTCACTTTAATTCTAAATTTATTGAGGTAGGGAAGGATTTAGGGGTAAATTTTTCCAAGAGTAAGGCAATGGAACTAGTAAAAAAATCAATTACACATAGGCCTGATATTCCAATTTTTAACTTTAGTTTAGTTACACCTCAGCAAGTTATCAAAATAGTCAAGTCACTAAGTGATAAAAAAACGGCTGGTTGGGATGGGATTTCAACTACTATAATAAAAAAAGTAATTAAGTTTGTTGCTGATCCATTGTCCATAATCATCAATCAGACTTTAACCAATAGCACTTTCCCTAATCATTTGAAGTATGCAGAGGTGAAGCCATTATTTAAAAAAGGTTCTAAGAGTAACTACCGACCTGTTTCTGTCCTGCCTTCTTTTTCAAAGATATTTGAAAAAATTGCATTCAATCAAATGTCCTATTTTCTGGAATCTAATAACTTATTAGCTGATGAACAGTTTGGTTTTAGGAAAAATCGAAGTACCACTTCCACTGTGGCTCATTTTGTAAATTCAATAACACAGAGCTTGGATGGGTCACAGAGCACTATTGGCGTGTTCTGTGATCTATCCAAAGCCTTTGATAGTGTACACCATCAAATTCTTCTTGATAAATTATCCTCCTATAGATTCTCAGAATCAGTTATTTTGTGGTTGAAATCATATTTAAACGATCGCTTTCAAAGAACAGTTATTATTAAAGAAAACATTAAGTATGCTTCTGAATGGGAAAAGATTGTTATGGGGGTGCCTCAGGGCTCTATATTAGGACCGTTATTGTTTTTGATGTACATAAATGATCTACCTAAGAATGTTAAACCTAGCTTGTTGTTATATGCTGACGATACGACAGCCATCATTAAATCAAAAGACAGTCATGAACTAAGTTTAGCCTTGAATCAAGCTCTTCAAGATCTGTCAAAATGGTTTAAAGTAAACGGTTTAAAAATGAACCACATTAAAACACAAATAGTAAAATTTCAAACTGCACAGTGTAGGGACGATCTTGAAGGCTTTGTTTATTTTGATAATGAAAAAATAAATCTTAGCAACACAGCTAAATTTTTAGGAATTGATGTAGATAGTTTATTGAATTGGAAGAATCACATTCATAACACCTCTAAAAAGTTAAATTCAGTATGTTTTCAAATGTTGGTCTTAAGAAATGTTGTTGATTTAAACACTAGACTAATGATTTATCACGCTTTATTTTCGTCAATTTTACAGTATGGAATAGAGCTTTGGGGCGTCACATCTGATTCGTATCAACTTTTTAAACTTCAAAAAAGAATACTTAGAATTATGACTTTTAAACCCGTAAAACATTCTTGCAAACAACTTTTTAAAGAACTAAAGATTCTAACCGTCCCTAATTTGTATATTCTTAAATGTTTATTGTATGTGAAATCAAATTTTGAAAAACTCCACAGTGAAAATAATCGGCACAATTATAACACTAGATTTCATACAGATTTTCAATATCCTATACACAGATTAAATCTTGTGGAAAGGACACCTTCTTATATGGGTAAAAGATTTTTTTACAATTTGCCTGGGTACTACAAATCTATAATAGGATTAGTATCTTTTAAAGAAAAAATTTTTGAATTTTTATTGGAAAAGAATTATTATAGTATTGGTCAGTTTCTTGAAGATAAATCAATGTGAATTGTTTGTTTTGTTACCTACTATGTATTTATTTTTACCAATATAAGCTAGTTTATTTTAGTATAGTTTGACAATGTCACCTGTTTTGTCTGGCTGTGCCAGAGCATAAAAAAAAAACGTTTTGTGACAATAAAGATGACTTTGACTTTGACTTTGACTTTAATAGCTATTTTAATTGTTATTATAATGATCATTATCATTTTACCACAAAAAGGGACTATGGAGAAACCCAAATATAAACGAAAATTGTGAAGATAACGTAATTGAAGGCACAATATTTGAACACTTTTATTTCAGAATCTTTAAATCATAACTTGTGTGTGTGTGTTTTTTTTTTGTTTTTTTTAGTTTACTATTAGCTTCATTTCAGATATGAGGGGTTCTACTGTATTGCAAGTATTGCCTGTTATTTTCTTCCTATACAACTTTGATGTGCAATCATAGTTTTGTAAATAACTAGTTTTCAAGTTTGTTCAGTATTTACCAAAGGGCTCAATAAGAGTTTTTACTTTATCAAGTTAACCCTTTCAATGATAGAATTTTTTTATAACTATCAAAAAATGCTAAGAGTTATTTACTTGTTTGTCCGAAAAAGTGCTAGGCTTGCCATGGGGCGAGGTCTAGTGTGCAGGAAAAAAAATGAGTAAAACAATTGTTCATCTCAAAAATGCTAAGGAACGATATATCGGGCCTCGATGAGGAATCGAAGGAAACCATCGCTTTTCGAAACAACAACCGATATGCCCATTCAAACTCACACGATCGAAAGTCGCGCCAGCACGATATGTATATTGTCGCTTAGCACTTTTCGGATAAAACGTGAACAGCGATATATCGTTCCATAGCACTTTCCGGGGAAATACGCACAACAATATATCGTCGCATAGCACTGAAAGGGTTAAAACATACAAAAACTCAACTTTAAGCAAGTTAAGAGATGTGCAATATCCAATGAATAGTTCTAGTTCTACCTTTTTCTATGTGGTTTCAGAACCCCAAGGTGAAATACGTGCAAGGGAATTTTTAATTTATTTACTCACTTTTCTTTCATGCAATTTATTAACCTAATCAACTCCATTTCGGAATTCAAAATCAGTTACAACAATACTCAAAGTTACTTACTTTTGTTGCATGAAATCAGATTCTTTACTGCCTTGAATTACAATGATTGGGCGAACATTATCAACCAAACCAATACATTCTTCTGGTTCTTCATGCTTCTCCTTTGATTTCATCATTGTCAACTAAAACACACAAAAAATGTGATTTCCTCCGTAACCTTTAATCGTACAACTATGCTTCAATATAAGTTACATATTTCTTTTGAATTATTCAAATTTCTTTTTTATGATCTACAATGGCTGTAATGAAAATTGGGCATTTTCGACAATCACACACAAATATATATTTACACAGGTGATTATATAGATAAACATAAGTCGAAGGTATCCTTTTTCTTTTTTAATTTTTTACTTAATAATATAGGTATAGGTATATAATATTGGTCATAAACAATCACCATAACTGATACATCAATTTCATTAATGCATGAAATCTTATCTACAGTACTTTTTGAATATAAGTAGGTTTGTTAAAAAAATTACCATAGGCTAAAAATTTAGTGTTTTTTATTCGTTTATAAAATAGCTCATCAGCTGCCCTTGAATGTTCAACTAAGAAAACAAGAATTATACTACAAGCCCAGTAACAAATATTACCATTGAGTTAGCAGGATAGCCAACATCTTTAACTTTACATCCATGCTTAAATATATGTTAAAAATTAGCCTACCTTACTTATTAACTTACGATTAAGAATTATTATGAGCTTTAATACAGGGTGTAAATAAAGTCCCACCTTGGGTTTAATATGTTCTGTACGGTAACAGATAAATCAATAAGATTTGGTACATCAACACGACCCCTAAAAACATACTTTATGAAGGAATTATAAGTTTTCTGTCATATCCGCAAGGAGTCAGAAGGAAATCTTAAATGGGAGCATAGGTTTATATATACATCGAATTAAAGGCCTTTACTAGCAGAATACAATTCCGCAAATTTGAACTCAACTGGACAACCGAGTCAAAAATGACAGCGTAAATCTTCTTGGTTTTGCAATTGATCTAAAACTTGCTTGGGATAAACACATTCAATCAGTTGGTAAAAGACTGTCCAGGGTGGTCCATCTACTTTGGAAGTTGACTAGGCTTGTCAGTAAACCTTATTTGATTATAGTGTACCACGCTCTGTTCAATAGTATTTTAAGCTATGGTCTCCTTCTCTGGGGCCATGCACCATCATGTCATGAAATTCTCAAATTACAGAAGAAAGCAGTAGCCTACGTATTTTAACTTCTAGTAAAATAAATGACCATTGCTAACCTCTGTTTGTCAGCACCGGTATTTTAACTACTGTCAGTCATTACATTTTTTTGTCAGCCGACCATGTGAAGGCAAACCTACTTGAATTCCATACAAGAAATACTGTGTACATAGCCATGGTACAAGACATCGCTCCGACCTGGACATACCTTTCTGCCGGCTGTCTAAAACTAAAAACTCTTTCCCAACGCTTGCGCTGAAGATTTACAACCACCTGCCTACGTCAATCAAAAACCAAGGGGAAACGGCCTTTCGTACAGCCCTGAAAAGCTTGTTGAGGGAGAAACCATTACAGCCTACAAGACTATTTTAATGAGAAACTTAAAGTCAATAAGCCTGCGGCAAAATCATCCAACGCCAAAGTACTTTTAATAGGCTATAGTTCATACTTCAATCTATGGAAGTTTTTATGTAGGTACCTATATAGTGTAAATAGAAAATTGACGCAACCTATCCGGCTCTGCTGGTCTCGGTCAAGGAGGAGGTAATTAAGGTAATTAAGGACCTTGATAGCTAGATACTACAGTTATTGCCGTAATGCCTTAAAACATGGGTGTGTTGCTAGCCTAGTGGTTAGCGTCTCGGACTTCCGTGCGGGAGGGATGGGTTTGATTCACAGCACATTTTGTAGCTATTGTGTTTGTTAAAAGCCAAAGAAACTTATTCATTTTTCCGTATCACCTAATCTTATATCAGAATTTTAGGTTTCATTGCCGTTTGGAAAAAAAAGAAATATGTTAAGTTTTCACTCTTGATATGGTAACTTACAAGTAGCCTATTATCTGGTCATTTTGTAGATTACCTTATTTCTTGCATTTAACCGTCATATAGGCCTAACTTAGCATATAATCATGGTTAATTGTAAAAATGGTGTATAGGCCTACCGTATGAATAAATAAATAAACCCATACGGGTTTGGATCGCTTTCCCTAAAAGCGATTACTTTCCCATATAATTCCTCTGTAAAACGCCACCGGATTAGACAAGAACAATAAAACACATACTGGGTAGCCTAATCAATTTAATTTGAAGACGGTTAAAAGTTTATGTGGCCTGACGACAAATTAATTTGTCAGCCAACTGGTCCAGGCCACTAATTCAGATGGATTCAATTTTACTTACTGTTTATTATAGCCTACCTAATATTTTCAAGAATCACTAGGCTTAACTTATACATTTTAAGGTGTAAGATGAACATGTATTCCTAGCCCTAACTTTCAAGACATTTTGCCAAACAAAAATATTTTTCAAATTTATGAGTGGCATTTACAAACTGTTTGCTTCTAAAAGTACTTAATGAGAACTTGAAATTTTAATTCAAAATCTCTTAAATTGGTAGGTCTCCTGAGCATTTTTTTACATGTATGTTTTAGGTGTATAAAAAATAAAACTTAAGTGAACTCAATGTTTGAAATAGAATACAGAATGGTCTTGTTGCTTTGAGTGTTGTTCATAACATTATGGTGATGACCCAATAGCGTTGAGGAAGCGGCTCAATGAACTAGCGTCAATGAATGTACTAAATTAATGAGGAAAATGGTAGGATGGACTAGGCCTAAATGTTGTTCCAAGATTAAATGGGTCAATCCTGTTTATTGAAACTATTTTCTAGGATTAGCATGACATAACTAATAACTTCGAGTTAAGTTGATAATATTTCAACTTACAAAAGTTGCATGAAGAGCTATAACTGAAAAACACAGAAAAAAGCTTAAATTATTCATACAGAGTTCGAAATAGGCTAAGTTCGAATACCCTAGGCTTAGATGCAACCATTATGAGTTTTAGGTTAGTTGATAAGTTACCTTGTTAAATCGTCAGTCAATGCAGAGCATTAAATAAAATTTGATATAAATGTAGAGGCTTGAAGGAACTTTTGCCGTAGTATCCTTTATTTATACAATATTAAGGATTCTAGGCCCACTCCATAGCTTCAATAACGCCATACACAACTAGTAACTGTCAACTCCAACTGGTCTAGTTGAGAGCAGCTTGCTTAGAGATAAACTAACAAAAACAAAACAAACACTGATTGTAGAACAGACAGAACACGAGAACAGCAGAAGAAATTAGTACATTGGACAATCCACTATTTTTGTCTACTTTGGCAGGCATATTATATAGTCATACATAAGAGCTCTTATCCATAAAACGTGAGTGGGGTCCACAGCGTCGACAACCATTAACACCGATTTTCTAATAACGTTGAAACAGCTTTTTGGCTAACTAATCAAAATAAGATGTATGCAATATAATTTAAGGGACTATTCATTGGTCTACAGAAAACCATACTAGTATGTGTGAATGTCACCTAAATAATCTTAATAAATAATCCAAAGCTAACAGTAGCATATTTATATAAATTGAAAGAAAAACTATAGTAACCTTTTTAAGTTTTTAAACTGACTAATGCATTTCGACACTAAGTTCATAATCTACTAAGGTCACTATCTTAATCTTTTCTTTTCATTGAATATTAATATTAGAGTTGTGACAAATAGTGAGCCGTAATCGACAGAGTGTCCCACGAAGAAGTCGTTGCTGTTTATGAATTAATATACCAGAAACCAGAACCAGAGGTGGCATGTCATAGTGCATAATCTCAGAGTGTCTAATTTAAAATTTTCTTATGTTGTAAATATGTGCCGGAGTTTGGTTTTCCTACTGCAATGCGTTAAAAAGTTAACTGGGGGGTTCCAGACTTTTTCCTAACCCTGTATAGTGACCACGCACGTGTGTAAATCCAATAAAGAAAAAAAGGGTACTAATGTTTAATGTATATACAGGGTGAAAATTAAGTCTTTATAACTTTAAAACTAAAAGAGATGTAACAACAAAATTGTCCAAGTTTGGCATGTCATTACTAGTCAAATCAAATGTGTTTTTAAAAGGGTTTGAAGTGGACAGGTTATAGCTCTTTTTAGATTAAAGATTATGGTTTCTTTTTTAAGGCTTACTTTATATTCGTGGGGGTGCTGAACACGAATATGAAGTTGTCAAACAAAATTTATTTTGCCAAATATGAGAAAATTGTAAAAAATGTAAAAAAATATTTATAGTCTAAGCAAACTAAAAAAACAACGCAGGGATCGTTAAAAATTGCAAGAAATAGTTGTATGGCTTTATTTTGTAGTGTTGGGTGTGCAGAGTGATAAACTAAAAACTTGCCAAAATCGGTGCATGGAAAACCCCTAAAATCACGATTAAAAATGGTGGCTTTTCCCAACATTGGACAAATTAAAAAAGTTACCACATGCATTTTTTACGCACATTTTTCGAGAAATTGACTTGAGACCACCGCTGATATGATATATTTATTGGGTGGTTAGTACTTCATTCCAATAGGGAACGTGTTTTGGCCGCCATATTGGATATAAATAAACATTGTTTTCCTACAGTTACCTAACAATGTACATGTTCTCTCACTGATTTGAGAAAGCAAAGTGGCCAATTCGCTCATCAGTGAAACAGCGAGACAATGTTAACATTGTCTCACTCTAATTACTTTGTCTCACTCCAGATTTGCAACGTGAAGGCACGAAATAGTGAGCGCGTAACATGCAGACAAGGTCGTATGCGCGCGAAATACGTTGGCAGCAGTCGCAGCACTGGCTGTAAATCAGCTGGTCAGCTGTTGTACTGTAATGCTACTTTCACATTAAATGTCATATTAAAAGTTCACTTCTGTGTAAAAATATGTTACGTTTCTTTACCAATTTATTTGTTTTATGGTAACTGTAGGAAAAAATATAAAACTCGAGTGCAAGTGCAATTGCCTCACTCGAGAAACCATTCCTTACTCGCCTACGGCTCGTGAGTACGGATTTCTCTCGAGTGACGCAATTGCTCACTTTGCTCACTTATAGTTGCACAAATGACTATAAATTTAATGATAGTGTTGTGACACATTATTAAAACTATATTTTTACTCTGAATCCAAAGCCAAAATCCGTTTTTAAATATCTTTTTTTCGTTTTAAAGATATTTTCAACCAAAAACTCTCCCCATACATTTCTTATGGGCGTTTCGTACTTTGAACATTTTTAAGATTATTTTTCTTATATCTCTCCTCCTGTTCTTATTAACGCTTGCAGTTCGTTCTAGCCTTAAAATATCCAGTGATGTAAGGGGTAAAGGGCATTCAATTTGAGCTATTGATCACTAAACACGGACTAGGCCTAGTTAATCATATGTTTAATCATACATTCATAGTCATTTGTAAAATGTTTTTACGGAATGGGTTAACAGTTTTTTTGTTTCTCACACCTTCTGGGTCATGTGAGACTTGTGTTATTGTATATTACGTGGTGTAATAATGCACATTTCTTTCCTTCTGACTGAAATAGTTTGACTTTAATGAAACACTCCCTTTGGAAAAGTGTAATCATATTCTCATAAACATCGCTAATGCAATTGTTTGTCCACTTTGGGCTGATTAAAATTATTTGATTTTTTAAGCGTAGCACGGATTAGGGTAACGGAGACAACATTCTATAATTCATCTACCAAAATAACCACATAAAAACAACAATTAAGTTTTAGTTTCATTAGTGTTTGTTGATTTGTTGGATGATTATAGATCCTGTGTTTTAATAAGGCTAACTGTAATATTAAACATTCTAGATGAAACAATAATGCACTTATCAGCATTTATCGTCTTTATAATCAATATCCAATCGTCAATGTAGGATTGATATTTACAGGATATCTGTTCGTAGATATCTTGTACTGAATATATGTTCAATATTTTTAGGATATTGCGTCTAAACATTTTATAAATATCTACTGAGAAACTTTTAATATCTATTAAATATCTATAGAATATCTTAACAGATATTTAAAGATTTCTTAGACTTATTTTAAAATATATTTAATTACATTTAGATATCTTTAGACTTATTTCAACTACATTGAATATTCAATGGATATCTAGTGCTGTTAGGGGAGCTACAGACGCTAAAACACAATTAAATTTAACTTTTCAGAAATCTGTTTGTGGTTTCAAATTACTCATTAAATGTTTGGGTTTAATTTTATTAATCACTTAAATTTTTAAAATTAGTCTTGAACCTTCATTTAACATTAAATTATTTTAATTTTATAGTTCGTCTTTAGTTTAAGACTTGTATCTCCAATTCTAAATAACACCCTAAAATCATAATAGTCTTAAATAATTCGTCAAAGTATTGACTTTTATTTTAGCTATGAATAATTACTTATTGGTTGTTATTACTGTAAATCGTTACGAACAATATCGCAAACCGGACCTCAAATGGACAACATGTAGACAATAATTGTATTCTATAGCCCCGCTGAAAGCTGAAAGGGACGTTCTAGGGACAAAATTTCCTAGATCTAGGGACAAAATTTCCTAGATCTAGGGACTTTTCGCCTAGAGTTGGTGGCAACTGGCAACACTGCTCTCAACCCGCCTTTTTTAGCGACTAGGCTAGACTGGCTACGGCATTTCGCTTCGCCTTTCGCCATCTTGGTTAATGTTCAATCGCTTTCCAATTTCCATAGTGTTGTTGATAATTATTAGCTTTGTAACTTACGTACAGTAAAATTTAACGCTATGTCTAGCCGTAGTGAATGCAGAATTTACGTTGGGAATCTCCCACCAGATATACGCACTAAAGACATTCAGGATCTTTTTTACAAGTTTGGGAAGGTATCATTCGTTGATTTAAAAAACCGCAGAGGACCTCCTTTTGCTTTTGTCGAGTTCGAAGACGCCAGGTAAAGTTTAAGATATAATTTCATTGGTTTCTTTAATTTTTTTTGCTGATTGATTCAGTTTTAGTTTTTTTTTTATTCTAGGCCCACCGAAGGTTTGACCAAGTAAGTTAGGTGTTGGCCTATCACGCCTAGCCCCCCATTGATATAGGCCTAGCCCTGTTTAATGGCTCACCTAAGCTAGGGTTCAATGTAGGCTATTTCAGAGCCAGAATGTCTAATGGCCAATAAAATGTGACTTAGGTGTTGTACTACTCAAGGAATAGAGGATAGGATTAGGCATTCTTTGATAAGACTTAAGTTAGGCTAGGCCTAAGCTATTTACTAAGGTTGCAGACTAGGTATAGGCCTAACTTAGGCCTAAGCGATACTGAGGTAATTGCAGACCCCAGTATTGCTCTGTCACTTTCAGTTTGTTCCATTATGGCTATGATCACGAGATATCGCAGGCCTAAATGTTATACTAAAACTTATTGTAATTGCTGCAACATATCTTAGTGTAAGTTAGGCCTAGGCTATTGAAAGGTTCTCTAAATTATTGTTGATGGAGGCACTCCCAACATCGCCAATGGTTGCGGTTTTAACTTACTACTAAGTTACCTTCGCCGACGTCAGTGGTAACTTACTTGGCCAGTTTCTGCATCGTTTGGGGGGTAGGCCTATCGCTTGTTCTTTTCGACATTTGTTACATCACTTGAGTCTAAAAGAAATTTCAGGCAACATCACTTATTGCCAACATACCCTAGGCTAGGCCTACATGGAACATGTTAGTCTTGCTGACATTCACAAAATCATATCTAGAAACTTACGGTAACTTAAAGGTAACCTTCGGCGTTTGTGACGACATTGCGAGCATTTCCAAGATTTGCGAAGACATCACTATATTTGACGACGTTTAAGTTACAGTGACATAAGTTAGTAAGCGTTAGGCCCTAATAGCGTTCGACGCAACATGACCCGTTAACTTACTTGAGCCCAAATCAATTTGATTGGTTTAGGTTGGCAATGCTTGGGAGGTAGCCGTAAAACGGTTTCACTGTGAAGTTTTGCCTTTTCATCAATTAAATGTAAGATGACAGGTTTTCCTCTCTCTTGGTTCGGTATTTTTAAGGAGTTCTTTTTCAAACATAGTCGTATCTGTAATTATTTCTTTTTTTGCAAGCCATTCTAAGTTACTAATGTATCTGTTTTTTGTTTCATGAGTTAGTTGGTACGGTACCGTAGTTTTTAAACTTTTGTTGAATGATATGAAGCGTTTACTAAAACTATTACCGTACTGCATTTTCCTTCAAAAAGGGTATTACATGCTGAAAATAGCTTAAGAAAACATCACCATTCATTTCGTTGAAAGATTAAACCCTGTTTTCCATGAATCCATCTTCACTGCCGAGATGGGACACGATGAGACGTATTCCTTTTCCTGTAGGTGTTTTTAAACCTGTAAAAGACCGTTTAGAAAAAACATCCATTCTACATTTTACTTCGGTGTCCACCCAAACGTTCTTCCGTACATGTCCCTCGTTAACCCAGGTCTCGTCTTAATAGCAAATCAGCCTTCCTTCTTGCCTGAACTTTTAATCTTGGTAAATAGTCCCATCGCCACAATATGATATCTTCTCAGTCTATGAGGAAAGCATTTCTTCCTCTAGAGGTTAACTTAAATCCAAGTCGCTTCAGAATTTTTAACAGCTAGGCTAGTTGTCCTTTTGAAGTTCGGTAACTGGGCATCTTCGTTGATGGCTTCCGAAACTTTGTTATAGGTTGGTGGAATATTTTTTTAAAAAAATATATGCACTTTTCTTCTGATTGCATACTTTGTCATGTCCTTGATTTTTGATAATAAAGCATCTGGTCTCTGCTCTTTGTTTAGATTGGATTTGAGTCCTAACTCTCGATTGCGTTTGTAAGTTCAAATTATTACGTAAACACTTAGTTTTCCTGCCAACCATACTTGCCAGTATAGCACTGTCTTTCAAAATCCCTGGATTTTCATCCAATACTGTCTTGTAAACGTTTATAACACACTTTTTTTTGCACTACGGTAGGCCTATACCGTCAACCGGGGTTAGATTGACCCCTTTTTTGATGTTTTTGTTGATTAATTTTTGTTTATATTGATTAATATTCCCAATATATTTTTTAAATGATAAACAGGTACTGTGTGAATACCTTCCAGTAATTATTTTGTTTTTTATAGTCATATGTTAGTCATAAAAAAAATAATGAAAGGGGTCAATGTTACCCCGTGTCTTGGGTTGACATTGACCCCCCACATTTATTATATTAAAATTATACATAATAAAGCACTGGGGTCAATGTTACTAGTGTACAATGAAACTTTGACCCCTGTAAAAGGGGTCAATGCTACTTAAGAACAATAGAGTGGTAACAACATCAAGGAGTGAACATAACAAATTTTTTTATGCACACACCTAGGCTATAATGATGGAATAAATTGAATTAGTAGCATTTTTTCTATCACATGATTAGGATGTAACACCTAGGTAAAACATCAATACTACAAGTTATTAGAGACTAAAATCATTAAATTTCCTTTACTCAAACCCTTCCAAAAAAGTTATAGAAAATGTTGTGCCCATCAGATTCCAGAGTTCCCGGCAACTTACCAATCACATCTAGGCTACAGATGGGGCAGAATAGAATACGGTACATATAATTTTCTTTTGGATGTAAATTTTTCCCCACATTAGTGAGTGTAAACAGAATTAGGCCTAAGTCACATTACTTCAACAAACTGTTCATTCCAGGCAAAGACCTGCTTAAAGTGTTGTTTTCCTTGCTTTCCACCGATTGCTTTTACCTCAACTTTATAGATACAAATAAAACAATTATAAATCAACATTTTTAATAGGTCTATCACATTATATACATATATCAATTAAATTAAATATACCAGAATCAATAAAAATGATGTGTAATTAGTAACTTGGAATTATAACGAGGGGTCAAAGTTATCCGAAGGCAAAAAAATAAGGGGTCAATGTTACAAGGCCTTGAAAAAGAATTATTAATTTATTAAATTATCTTTATTTGCTTGTAATAAGTGCTCAAATATTCCTAAAAACATATATATTTTACCATATAAAATCCTGACAGTGCCAGAACCAACAGTTTTTGCTGGGGTGAAAAAGTTTTTTGTTATGAAATTATACAGCTGTTTTGTAGATGATTTTATTATATTTTTTTTATTGTTATAAAACTAATTTCTGCTAAATATTATTTGTTTTCAAATTGCTGCCAACCTACTGCAATTTATCATATTTTTTATTTTCAATTTATTTATAACCTACTATTTAAAAAATAACATAATAAAAATAATTGACCCCGGGGTCAATGTTACCCCTGGGGGGTCAGAATTACCCCGCTTGACGGTATATTGTTTGTCCACTTTTATTTTTCCTAACTGGAGATAAAACATCCATCCTAATGCCTAGTTCACACTGTCCACAACTTCTAAAATAAATACTTAAATCACTATGATTAAAAATAGGGTATCTACACCTAATATTAAACGTCATTTTAAGCGACTTAATACACAGGGTTTAATGTTATGGTACGACAGCTGACAGCTGAATGAGCCATTGAGCGCAAAATGTTTGGATGGGAGACATGTGAAGAGAAAATTTTTCGAGGAAACGACTGTGAATCATCCCCTGAGTCATTGCACATGTGACAATCTGTCCCCAACCCCGTACCCTCATTGGCCCAAACCCACCCAGCGCAACGTCGTGAGGCAGTGCTTTACTTCAGACTCTTGACGAACAACTATATGGGTGCTTATTTTTTTAAAGCCATTACAAGATCTAGAAATTGTGGTTATCTCCATTTTGAGACCCTTTCTTTAATATCTTGAGGTCTTAAAGGTTGAAACCTCATCCTTGTCAAGCCTTTTTACAAATAAAAATATAGTAGACCTACTTCAGTTTAGGTAGGCACTCAAGCTGAACTAACTTTCTTTTACAAAATATATTACCAACGTAGCTTCCTATAAAATTTAAGCACACGACGACTAATACTATATTTTGCTTTACCATTTTCTAGGCTATATCTTGATGATCAATCTTTGAAACCTCCTACTTTTATAAAAACAAGTTTGTTTTGGTTGGTACAGTAGACCCCCTCTTAACCGACCTCGTATTAACCGATAATCGGATTATCCGCCTTCGATCGTAAAATAATACAGTTTGTTTTAACTGACCATGCTTTGAGAGCAGTTCTGTTTAACCGCCGCTTTCTAGGAATCTTTGTATTTCCGCTCCCACGCTGGGCGATGAGAGCTTAACTATACGCTTATCTCCACAGGATATGATGACTAAGAATAAGTTATTTTGTATTGATCACAAAAAATATAGCATAGCCTATTGTCAGTTTGTCATCATAGTTCGTAGCTCGACCACATCTGATCTGATTTGTTATCTGTTTGGCAAATCTATAACATCATAAAGTGCATTACGATTTTGAGAACTGATTATCTTATCGCTGGAGTAAACAAACAACGCAACTTGTTGGAAGGGCAGGGAAGGGGGGTTAACAACTCCAAGGTCAAGATAGTTTTGTCTTGTAACAAAATGGTTGCTTGTATCTTTAATTTCAACAAAAGGTTCTGTACTGTATTACGATGGATTTGAAAAGCATCAATTAATACTTTACAGTGGGTACGGTACTTATGTTAAAATAGGAATTTTATTGCCTCTTTCCTGGTATTATAATATATTCCACTGAAAGTAGGCCTATTTGACTTAACCGTGTTTTGTGTTTTTTCGTGACTTTTCTATCTCATTGAACATTTGGTCGCCATTTCATTGAACAGTATCTAACAGTATCAATACGAAAAAGGAGATAACAGTAGGGCCTAGTTTATTTTATAAATAATGCAAGTATGACTTCAAAATAATGATAATATAATTCCAAATGCATAGCACTTCATTATGTTATGATTTTAGGGATTCCCCGTTTTAACCAACCTTTTGAGTTATCCAACCTAGGTCCGGTCCCATTAGGGTCGGTTAAGAGAGGGTCTACTGTATTGTTAAAACATCATTATAAATCCAGGCCTATATTAGTATGTCGTCTATAGGTTTGAGAGAAAATTTCAAATGTGGAACCTCATTAATTAATGTCCTAGCCTATTTTTTATAACAAAACCACTTATTTGAGCTCATCTCGCCATAATTCTATTAGACTGAGGCCATAATGTTGTCTTATTTTCTCTTCATAATTCTCTTTTGCATTTTCCATGTTTTCTGTCATATTGGAAAATGAAAACAGTTTAAAGAAACATGTTCAGATCTATAAACAGACCTCACCTGCTTTAACACTTATTATCACTACCTGCCACTTTTGTGTCTTATCTTAATTTTTCAGTTCCATTCCAAACGGCATACATGTTATGTCTGTTTCATTTTTAACTCATTTTAATGGGTTTCATAATCTGCAAAGTAGTGGAAATGTATGCCCATGATTCAGTATGAATGGGTTATTGGGTTGTGGTATTTTATAATTTGCACTTAAGTGATAATGCCGCACCCCTAGGTCTAGCCTGAAGTAATGTGAAAAACAATCCCAGGCTCGTGCCTAGCGTCCTTAGGACAAAAAAAAAAAAAAAACTGCAGTACAGTAGGCCCTACTACATAGTATTGTAGTATCATCATAAGAAGTAGCCTATCAGATTTTTTAACTGTTGTTTGACAATTTAGCAGCAACCTACGCAGCTTGCCTCTGCTCTTATAGCTTGTTTGCAACTAAACTATGACCAATCTGGATTGGTCTTATTTCTTGTCGACGCTAGTGGCATTTTTACTGTAGAGGCAATGTCGAGTGTACTTCAAATAACGCTTTTAGGGAAAGCGGTCAAATTCCATTAAAGCTTTCTCTCATGGAAATCAAAGCATCACAAATTCTTGAAGCTGTTAATGAGAAATTCTAATGAATTGGCCTTAAATTTTGTTGTGTCTCACTATCTTCCACATATTGAATACCATTTAAGTAGCCTGTATTCAAAGTTGTGTACACAATATCTATTCCTCAAGTACAGCTTCCATTAAAGGTGGAATGTTTTACTCTTGCAGGGACGCAGAAGATGCAGTTCACGCTCGTGATGGGTACGACTATGACGGCTACAGGCTGCGTGTTGAGTTCCCTCGTGGTGGAGGACCAAGCAGCTACCGCGGAAGTCGCGGAAGTGGAGGAAGTAGCATGGGAAGAGGCCGTGGCCCCCCTGCACGACGATCTCAATACCGAGTCATTGTTTCTGGTTTGTATATTTCTATATTTTTATTTTATATCATAAATATTTGGTACCGTACTTATTTACCAACCCTCAATTCACCTACAACATTTAGAAAAATGCTTTAAAATTATTCTATGAATTAAATAATACAACTGTTTGCACAACTTGAGGAACTTTTTTAGCTTCCTGAAAGTCCTATTGAGACTAACAGGTGAGTATTTGGCTCAGTCGGTAACGTTACAGACTTCAAGTCCAAGGCAAAGATGTCGTGGGTTCGGATCCTGGTACTACATTTGATCAGTACAGTTCACCCCTTGCTTTGCTGGATACGAGGGTAGGAAAATTCAAGGTTGCCAACCTCTTTAAAAAAAGAAATAAGTCTAATGCTTTATTTCTAAGTCTAATGCCTACATTTCTCCAGGCTATTGGTAATTTTTTTCATTTTTTACTGTGGTGTTTCCGGATCAATTTTTTGAAAAATAAAAATGTTTAGTTACATGTTGTTGCCTTTTGGTCAAAGTTTTGTCCTCAATAGATTATGGACATTTCAGATATCCATTCATCATCAGATCATCGTATAAGAACTTTGTGTCAAAAGTTCAGAACAAAACACAAAAACACAAATTATGCTACGGGTACATAAATCAATAACTGACAGTTTAACATATTTTTAATTTGTCTATTCATTTGCGACACGTGCACTGACAGGACAGTAGGGTGTGCCAGATGTGTGTCAAGACTCGATTGAGGAAGGAAATTGGTTAGGCCTGCCACTAAGAATTAATTCTGGAACATTTATAGCTTGGTACAAAACATTTTATCGACCACTTGGATTAAAATAAAATCTCTTGTTTTAATACAATTGTTCTCAGTGGCCATACCTATTTTATATGAGTTATGTATCATCAAACTCCAAAGTTTCATTTTTGTTCTTGGTAGACCAACTTACATTTGATAGTTTCTATTAAATACCTTAAAATAGTGTAGTTTAAAAATTATTTTGTTAAAATACCATATTTTTCAGATTTGTAATCACTCAACAGTGCTATCTCCTGCTTAACTTCCATAATTAAGGTAAAACTTATGATTGCAGGTCTGCCACCTTCAGGCAGTTGGCAGGATCTGAAGGACCACATGCGTGAGGCCGGAGACGTCTGTTTTGCTGATGTGTACAAAGATGGCACTGGAGTGGTAGAATTTCTTCGTTATGATGACATGAAGTACGCCTTCAAAAAGTTGGATGACTCACGTTTCCGTTCTCACGAGGTTGGTGATAAATTATTTAAGTTGCACAAATACTTAGTTTTGGATTAAAAGATTATCATTCTACTTCAATATCTTTGCATCTCAAAGATCTTTGATTATATAGTTTAATACAACATAACATGTAATTCTTTGCCACTTTACATCGCTTCTTGGAACTAGACGCCAGAGTGATTCATTTACCAGCTACACGCTAATAGATGCACAATATAGGCCTAGATGCGGAAAATTTAAAGATTACAGTGATAGTTTATTTTTATTTTTTCTCCGTTAATCTTTATGATTTCTTCATTAATGTCCTTTTTTATAAGTTGATTTCATCTAACTTTCAACAAGATTTGCCAATGATTATCTTAGGCTAATTAAAAACTAGTGATGGGCCGATTCCAGAATTGGTCGATTCCGAAACCGATTCCCATTCCAGAACTTTGGTTTTGATTCTCAGTTCCGCAATCGATACCGTTACCAGTTATATATTCATTTAATAACACATATATGTGTGCTTCTCGGGATCCCTATAAATAAAGGAGCATGTAATTTTTATTTTTAATACAAACATAATAACATATTTTATTAAATTAAATAAAACACCAGTTTAGGTAGGTTTAATATTTTCACTGAGTTTTGTGTTTACATAAGCATTCATACATCTGGGCCTAGATTGAATGTTCCATATTGCTTGAGTTATAAACTCAAAGTCATCTTCAATATTGTCATAATCAATATCACTTAAATTAAGAATCACATAAAGTCTTGGAGTTCATCACATCACTGGAACGGAGATCATAACCCATTTTTGAACAATTCACTACACACTACGCATAAAATAGCAAATAGCAATCAACAACAAAACATTAACAACTCACCATTCTCAAACTCACGACAGCTGTTTCAGTTCAGTTAGAGAGAAACAACGTAAAGATAAAATCATAAAATACATCGCTATACGGCTGTCTCCAATAGCCACCATGAAGCCCTGAATTAGCTTAAATTAAAAGTTAGTATAAGTAAGCTTGGGCATTGATCACGCATATATAGAAATAACGAACAAAACTTACTTAAAACTTACAAAACACAACTTACAAAACTAACGAACTGCTTACAAACTCGCCAGATTTTTGCTGGGCGACACTCGTACGCATCAGAAAACCCATCCAATATGTGTGGTGGGCGACACTTATAGGGTTAAAAAATCAACCATTGATTATATATACTCACGAAGTGTGTTTATAGTCAATGATATTATACACTATGATCAGCAAGTTATCAAGCTCTTTAGCCGCTAATGAAATGTTCATAAAGCCTATCACGAGTTAGAAAACGTGAGTTATACTAGTACCATTAACTATATACACTTTGTACTATATTTATATATTCAATGCTTGTACCATGTGGCCAATCTGACAACATTGCGGCAAGTCATTTTTAAGCCTCTATCATTCAACCAGTGCTCTACTAGTTGTTAGTTGTACACGTCATTCATTGTGAAATGCATAGGCACACTATTTAAGATTGCAGTATATAACTATTAAGAATGTGAGCTAATGAACTTGGAGTTATTTATATTAGCTGACTTAAGAGTAGGTATATTCCAAATAAACAATGATGTGTTACTCTTTACAACCTTAAACGCCAGATGAGTTTTGTACCATAATTAACCTCACTTTTCACAATCGATATCAAGTACAATGAAGAGAAGTATCGAGTATCGGTGATTCTTTGATAACACTGGTATTGAGAATCCAAATCGGCCCATCCCTATTAAAACCCCCCCCCCCCTTTTTAAACCAAAGAAAAATCTGTGTCCTCCTCTAAACTTGTATAAAAAGAAGCAAATCTAGGTGTTGTGTGCTGTTTATTTCCACTCAAGTAAGATTTTGTTTCATATAAGTAGGCCCTAAGGGTAAAATGAGGGTTTATTTTTTAAACCCTCAAAAGTAGGACTATCAAAGAACGACCTCAGAGCTACAATTTAAATATGGAATAAAATCAAATTGTCTATACTGTACATCAGTCAGTACGTTTAGAATGTAATTAAAAACTATATGTACTATCTAAAACTTAACCTAAAGAAAATAAGTCTATAATAAAATAAAACATTAATTTTGGCATATAATCTACTGAAAAGTATGTAGCCTACAGGTAGTGACAACAAGTGGTACTTAACTGTTTTTTTTATCCAAACAAATGCTTTTCTTTCTTAATGTGATCAGGCAGTTAATTGCAAAATTTACCTCCGACATGGGTAGTTTTTCGCGAATTTCCCTATAGAGAAGTAACTATTACCGTAGGTCTCGTGGTAAGACTTAAGCCCGGGACCGATTCACTTTTTTATTTTGATATCCCCAGAGGCCAAAAACACTATTTGTTAAAATGTTTATAAATGTATATATACATACACGTCCGTGAACGCGATATTAGGGATGGGCCGATTCCGATTCTCAATACCTTAAATACCAGTGGTATCGAAGAATCGCCGATACTCGATACTTCGCTTCATTGTACTCGATACCGATTCTGAAAAGTGAGATTAATTATGATGCTAAACTCAACTGACATTGAAGGTTGTAAAGAGTGGCACATCATATTTTATTTGGAATACTCTGATGTCAGCTAATATGAATAATTCCAAGTTCATTATCCCACATTTGTAATAGTTTTATAATCCAAAATAGCTTGCCTTTGCATTTCACAACGAGTGCTGTTGCATTTCACCATGAATGACGTGTTGTGTTCAACTGACTGAGACGAGCAGACGACAACAGTGACAACTAAGTAGAACAGAACAACAGAACTCTAGTTGCCGCCATGTTGTCAGATCGAGGGCAATGTTGCCAGATGGTACAAGCATTGAATATAAATATAATACACATAAAGTGTATATAGTCAATGGTACTAGTATAACTCACGTTTTCTAACTCGTGATAGGGTTTATGTACATTTCACTAGCAGCTTAAGAGCTTGATAACTTTCTGATCATAGTGTTTAATATCATTGATTATAAACACTATTGGCCTATATAGTTAGGCCTAAATGTTTTATAACTTTTGGAAAGTTTTACAACAGTAAAATGACTTTTCGTAAGTTAGATGGGGTTTCAAAAAACATATTTCTAAGATCAAATAAAATATTTACAAGACACAAACTAACATAAATTAATTTCTTTGAAAATAATCTGTAAATAACAGTTTTATGTTTTAAAATAATGAAATATATCTTTTTGTTTCTACTTCCTTGTTTCATATAAAATTTTGTCAGCAATTGGAGCAACTGGTGTTTTAAGAGGGGAGGGGGGGGGTCTATGACCTTGAGTGCATCTTGCCTGGCTGTTGAGAGTGATTTCCAGAGTCTATCCACTATACTGTTTTTGAGTTTTACAGTAAATCAGTTTATACAACATATATTCTTCAATCAGTTCTCCACTTGTCATGTTGCTTCGCCTATTTTAGGCCCTACAAAAAAATATTCTTATGTAAAGCTGTAGGCCTACTAATGCTAATTAATTTCAATAATATATAAATTATGTATGATGTAACTAATAATGATATTGCAAGTGTGAGGTTTTTATACTTGGAGGTCAGGAGGCAGGGAATGCAAATGGATGATACATATTGCATGGTGGAGACATAGAATTTTTATTTTCTTCTTGCTTGCAGTCTTAAAGACAGTCAACAGGCCCTAAAACTGTAATATGTTAATTGATTTGTTTATGATCTTTTTATATTAAATTCCATTCAAAACGTGTTGTAATTTAGCTATTTAGTTATATCAACAGCTATGAAAATGGGAAAGATTGTCTTCATAAAAAAATGTTATTTTCTTCTTTCTTGCAGTTGAGGCAATTCCCAAGCTGTAAATGAGATATGAAAATGAAATAATATACATAAATACAATCTTTTTTTCATATTTTATCATAAACACTGATAGAAGTTAAAAACAAAAAATATCCGGTAATTAATGAATCTTGACCTGACCCAATTTTGGCCGAAGACCCGAGAGCCAAAATTATCGCCCCGACCCGAACCAAAAAAGTCGAACCCGCAGCACCCTAGTATTTTCATGTAGAACAGGTACCGTTATCAACCCATTTGGTTGTTGCCATCAATTAAATAAATAGTCAGTTCAATGCATCTGTACAACATCTGTTTGTAGGAAAGACTGAATGTGAGACTAGTGCTCGCATGTGCTGTACTAGGTTTGTAAAGGCACCACTATCACTTTGGGTTGTGTTGCAGGGTGAGACTTCATACATTAGAGTCAAGGAGGACTACAGTGGTGGTGGCGCCAGGGACAGTGTTGAGAGGGGGAGCGTGGACCGTGGACGTTCACGTAGCCGCAGCTACTCGCCACGTCGCCGAGGATCCCCCACATACTCTCCCGTGCACCGCAGCTACTCGCGTTCAAGGTCCTCCCGCTCCTAAGAACTGATAAAATTCCATATCTAGATATGTAACTGGACTACCGTATATATATCGGACAGTGTTTTTCTTTTGTTTAGTTTCGTTTTTACTTGTAATGATTTTGAATTGCGAGTGCTGGATGTTTTGATGGCCATAAAATAATCTATTTTGATTACTCAAATTTTGAGTCAAAGAGGCCTAAACTGAACTCTTTCTTCTTTGTTACATATCTATATGGCTACTTTTTCCTTGTTATTCCATGTACAACTGTGTGTGAGAAAAGGTGGATATGTGTTTATAGAGACTGAAGTTTACTGTCATTGTGATAGTAGTTAGTTTTATGATGTTTTGGTTTATATTATTATTCTAAATCCATCTTGAAAGTATAGTTGTGTTGAACACTTGAATTATTATACACACATTCAGTTCTTGCTTAATATTCAGTTTACTTAATATTAGAGTGTTTTTTCGACGATTTATTTGAAAGAAATATACTGTGTATTGTACTAATTTAAAAAAGAATTGCAATTCATATTTTGATAGTTTTTGAAATGCCATGCTCTGCATTTATAGTTGTGAAACAGCCTCATATTTTTTTTACAATTAACTTTTTATGATACAACTTACAGCTCCATTTTGGATATGAGTTATAAGCTGTAAATACATTTACTGTTAGATTTTCTCTGTGAATATTTAGCCAGTGAAGATAAAATGTGTTTTATTTGTACCAATACAAAATAAACGTATTTTAAAAAGGATCACATTTTCTCCAGGAGGAAGGATTCATTCAAGAGTGGATAATCCATTTGAGGGATGAAGGATCAAAAGGGACTTAGAATTTTGGATGCAAATTAAGATTTTAAATGACGATTCATTTTGGATGTGAATTAAGATTTTAAATGACAATTCATGATGAAAACCATTGGATGATAACTTTCCGCTTCAAACAATGGATGCTGCTATACCATTTTTCATGGAGATTTAGATACAATTATTTTTGTTAACACATCAGATCACAATTTATAGGCATTTAAAACATTTCTGCGAACTTTGTTAACTCGATAAAGTGTCAAACGATATCTTTCACTTCAGTCATTAAATGGTTTGTCCACAAGGATTTCCTAAGGATCACTTCATTTCCTGGAGGAGTATTATTTCCCGGATGGATCTCCTTTCCTATTTATCATCTCTCCAAGAGGATCCTTTGACATTCTAAGGATACTCTTATTATTCCAATGGAATAATTGAAGAGGTTTACTTGAAGGATGGACAAAGGATTTGATAGGAAGAGGATTCCTCTTTGGACTGGATTGTTCAGGATAATTCAAGAGGATTCTCTTGCCAATGGATGTGTCTTAGAGTGTTAAAAGACTAAAGACTGATTATGGCTGTGATGTAACTTTTTTCAAGTCTTTTTCTAATAATTAAATGGCTTAAAAACAGGCCTGTCTTTTTCTTTCAGCTTTGATAGTTATTTTACCCACAGAAAAAGCTACCATAGCTCAATCATTACATTACATAAGCCTACATACAATTCTATTTTTGATGATATCTTCTTTTTCTGAATTAGATCAATTTGGTTTTGGCTGTTGCTGTTTTTTTTTTTGTTTTTTTTTAGGTTTAAACTGAATACTACTGCAGGGTGTCCAGCCAACCTAGGAATTTAGATGACTGAGAATAAATCTGTTAATTGTATCATAGACAAATAGAATTAAATATAGACCGACAGCAGTGCTGCGGTTAGCACAAGTTCGTAAACATACAGCGCTACCAGCAGTGAATGCCAGAACTTATGCTAACTGCAGCACTGCTGTCGGTCTATATTTAATTCTATTTGTCTACGGTTGTACCTACGTGAATTTTGTAAGGTACCGGGAAATTTAAATTATTGAATAATTGTTAAAAACCCACCCGAAATTACTGATTTTTCCCTTTTTGCGTCATTAAAATCACGATTACGGGAAACAATCACAGATGTTGCCGCGATCATAAGAAATGATTCAATTGCCGCAATAGCAAGAAATCATAAATTTCACCGCGATTGTATATGGTGATCACTGATGTGGTCGCTATTGCGAAAAATAGTGACGAGTGGTGAAATAATCACTGAAGATGATCGCATATTTCCGCAATCATGTGATATCATCACAAGTGTTAGGACGATCACGGTATATTCTTCTCTTTCTTTATTTTCTATGCCAGTGGCATTTTACAAGAGGTCAACATAAAAATACAGTTTTTTTTTTATCTGACAGGAATTGAACCTGTCCCTCCCGATCCGAAGTCTGAGACGCTAACCACTACGCTAGCAACACACCCACAGTTATTTGTGATCGAGAAATAACTAAAGATAAGATCGCTGGAGACGGATGTTGGTGCGATTATAAGAATCCACCACATCTCTGGTTTCTCGGTGTTGTCGTGATCGTGAGAAATAATCTTAGAGGTTGACATGATCACCGGAAAGAACAGGTGTTGCCGCCTAATTAATGTAATCAAACGGAGAATCTAGCGTGATACGGTTTTAACGAATTCAATGCTAATATTCGTAACTACTTGTTCAAATCTGAACACACCCAAGACTAGGTTCTCTCGCCTGCCAAAGACGGGGTTTAGAACTCAATGACAAGTCTCGGGGTATTACAACGGTGAATTAATTAACGTAATAATTATTCGTTTAGTGAACATAGAAATCGTAATTTCAAAACTAATTAATTAAAATAAAACCAAACAATAGCCATCGCTAGTCACTGTCAGGCAGGAACTGGCGGGTCTCGACTCAAGTCGGTGAAATCTAAGTTGTTAAATTTAGACCTTTCTAATCGAATTCTGAAACGAAATTGAATGAAAATAAAGTAAAACGTAGAAATGGCCTAACTATTAGAATAGCAAACCTGCTTTCGTAATATCGGCGATCGGCGTATAGATTACGATGAACGTAGAGTGTAACGTAACGGCGTTTTTAACTGGTCGAAAGCGTGCAAACGAATAATTCTGTCTTGAAGTAAAATCCTTCGTTACCACGCGCTCAAGCAGCGAACTTAAAAAGTACTACTAGACACCAGCTGATCGAATATTCAACTGTTGACCCGGTCTGGTTGTCGTCTGTCGTCAGTCTACAAACAAACACCAGTTTGGAGTTATGTTGTCTTAGGCGTTAAATACTTGTAAAATCGGTCGGTTTAACTTTATTTGGTGAAATGAGTGCTATCAATTATAAACTTGTCGTGTGAGTGTGTTTATGTACTTCACCGTGATTATAAATAGGCCTACGTACGTTCTTTGGCCCATAGTCCAAGCTATGGCCAACACATAGGCCTAGGAGTAGGCTATTGTGGATAAAAATCGGGTAAGTTCTGGTGTTAGTTGATTCACAGAACGTTTTTACCCCCCTTAAAATTTGGTATCTTACACGTTTTTTACTAAAAGATCTCTGTTGTATCTTATAACATTTGAACTTGTGTTCTTGGTTTGTGGCTCAGTTTTTAGGATAAGGAATCCAGATTTTAAATTCCTGAATTTTAATAATATCTTTCTGTAGCTACTATAATGAACTGTTCGAAACCAAAATCCAAGTTATAATGTGAAATATTATATTCTAGTTTTTCCTGGTAGTTTTGAATTTTGTACCTTGAAAACCTGGAATTATTATCCTTGAATTGTATTGTGATTGTGATGGGACGCTGGACACCTTGTACTGTTATATAATAAATTAATTTTAGATTGTGAAATATTATATCATCCATGGTATCACTTGTTAATGGTGACATTGACAGTTAAGCTGTGCAGTTTTTTTTTTCTTTTTAATTTGTCAAATGTAATGTTGTAGTATTGTATTGTGAAATCCTTTTCAGCCCATTCTGGCAGCCAGTGTTGCTGTTACTAACACGTGAAAGGCTTTGTGTACCATCTCCCAGGTCGGTCTGTACAACATTGATGCAATACATCTTCCACCATAGTAGTCTCTGGTACAGCAAAGATATGGTGGTGTTGAAGGACCTGTGGTGTTGGGAGCATAGCAACGCTGGTGGTGCTGCCTAAGAATTGACAGGCAGAGCTCTCTCAAAGTACTTAACGCTTTTTACCATGCGGTTGGCTTCTGGGTTATAGTAGTATGTTTCCTGTGTTCAGATGAACAATGAATTAATCTCAGACTGTATTATGAAGAGTAGCTTCTGGTAGCAGCTCATTTTGAACATTAAATCCAAAATTGCTTCCGATTTTACTATTGGAATGAGTTTCTGTATTTACAATCAATGATTCGGATTGAAAAATGTTTAAAGATATGAGCATTGACTATACACAGAATAACTTCCCATGTGATATAAAAAAATTAAGCCAAGAAAATAGATTAAGTTGAGGACCATCTCACTAGAGTTTACTAGTGTATTGGGTTAAATACACTATACTCTAATATGAGCAATGTTTGCTTGTATGTATGTATGCTTGCACAAAGATCTCGAAAACGGCTTTCTTCTTCGACGATTTTCTTCAAATGTTGTAAATAGTTTATTTCTGGCCTAAAAACAAGTTTACTGCACAAAAATCTAATTACGTAGAAAAATGAAACTGAAAGTCACATTTTCTTAACATTAGTCTTTTGGGTTGCTAAGTAATTATGTTGGTTGAATTAAATAACACAGAAAAAGTAAACAAAAGACTTGTAAGTTGTAACATGTCTTCATAATAAACCATCCATCCACAGTATACTAGCAAATTACAAAATACAGTACAAAAGGAAAAACATCAGTTGTTACTATTGAGTAAAGATTATACTGAAGATTACACGATACATTGTAGTAAAGACAAGCAGCGCGGAGTGTGGGAACTGTTTATTACGATTAGATTAAGGTAATCCTAAAATACTATGGGAAGGGAGGGACACAGGTCCGTAACGTAGGAAGTGGTGAAATGCTGTAAAAAACTAAAGGCTGTAAAAAAGAATTCAAAGATAAAAACTGTTATATTGGATTGGGTAACAACATGTTTCAAGGTTTCTAGCAAAAGAAAGCGTGAGTTGCATTGGCAAGCTAAAACCAGTACAGACCCAATTTGTCTTAATGTAAAGTCCTATAAAAAGATATTTCGTACAAGTTGTAAACAGTTAAAAAAGGTCTAACAGCAAATATATAAATAATGCATTAAATAAACCAAAAGCTATGTGGAAAGTTGTAAATAATGAATTAGGCATTAGAAAAGAAGATAGTTGTAGCAATAATATTTCATTGAAAGTCTAATAATGAATTAATTGAAGATCAAAATGTTGTTGCCAAAACTTTTAATTCTTTTTTTTATGTTAATAGCTTAAACTTGCCAAATCCTATTGTAAAGGGTGTCCATCCAAATATGAAAATATCTCTGGATATAAAGGGATGTTCACTGCATAACTTTAAACCAAGCAACAAATATGAAATCTTAAAAATAATCTTTTCTTTGAAAAATAAGACATCGGTACCGGTAGGTTGGGATGAAGTTCCCATTTCACTCATCAAAGCAGTAGCAAATAAAATTGCTGAACCCCTCTCAGATATAATTAATAAATGTTTTAAATGTGGTATTGTCTCGGAAAAATTGAAATACTCTCATATTACTCCGATGTGATATACAAAAAAGGGGCTAGAACCGATATAAATAACTACCGCCCAATATCTGTTTTAAGTAAATTTTCAAAGATATTTGAAAAAGTTATCAATTTCAAGCTAGTAAACTATTTTAACAGCAATGATTTGTTTTATGAAAAACAGTTTGGGTTAGAAAGACATACAGCACTAACAGTGCACTGATGGAATTTATCAATGGTGTTACAGAGGCTTTGTACAGGTCTGAAACTACTGCTGGTGTTTTCTGTGACCTTTCTAAAGCCTTTGATTGCGAGGATCATTCAATTTTGCTTTCAAAATTTAAATACTACGGTATAAAGGGTAAAAGTTTTTCTTTATTAGACTCTTATTTACAGAATAGAAAGTATACAACAATAGTGACCAAAAACGGTGTGAAACATATGTCAAACTGAATTTATCTAGTTATGGTGTACCTCAAGGATCAATATTGGGCCCTCTGTTTTTCCTGATCTTTATTAATGACCTTCCAAAAGCTATTGGCAGAGATTTAATCTTATTTGCTGATGATACAACAGCAATCATGAGAGAGGATTCAGTAAATAACGTAATTGTATCAATGGAAAACACTTTGGATTGTATGAAAAATTGGTTTTCGGATAACTGTTTAAAGCTAAATATTGATAAAACTCATATAATCAAATGTTTTTTTAAAAACTGTAATTCTCGATAAAATTCCAAATTTATTAGAATCTCGTAGATTTTTGGGTGTATTGCTTGATATTCCTATTAATTGGAAGATTCACTTAGATAAGATGAAAGGCAAACTAAGATCTATTTCTTTTGCTTTCTTTCACCTGATAAACTGTGTACCCCAGGATACA